GGTTTAATGGGGCTGCCACTGATCAACCCAGGGTCTGCGTATGCTGTCCCCAGCAGAAAATACCATGGGTTCTGTATAGAATCCTTCAATGTCACAGGTCAGGGCTTGAATTTTTCTTCAGTTACCTCAGCATGAGAAATGCTGAGCATGTTCTTCTCTTTTGGTTTTCTAACTCCAGGCCTTTGCACATTTTGTTATAATATTTGACTTTGTCTTCTTGAGCTGGCCTTGAATTTTTCTGTTCAGCTGTTTTGCCTCCTCATTCTTCCATTTGCTTTAGTGTCTCTATGCTGAAGGGCAAGTTTCAGAGTCTCTTCTGACATCCATGTTTGTCTTTTTCTTCTTTCTTACCTTTTTAATGACCTTTTGCTTTCTTCTTGTATGATGTTCTTGATGCCATCCCACAACTCTTCTGATCGTAAGTCATTAGTGTCTAATGCATCAAAACTCTTGTTGAGATGATCTCTAAATTCAGGTGGAATATGTTCAAGGTCATATTTTGGCCCTTGTGGACTGTTTTAATTTTTCATCAGCTTCAGGCTGAGCTTGCATCTGAGCAATTAATTATGTGCTACACAGTCTGCTCTTGGTCTTAGTTTAGCTGATGATATGTCCACAAATGTAGTCTGTTTCATGTCTGTGTATTTCGTCTGGTGAGGTCCATGCGTCTACTTGTCTTTTATGTCGTTTAAAAAAGGTATTTGCAATGAATAAGTCATTGGTCTTGCAAAATTCTATCATGTGATCTCCAGCATCGTTTCTATCACCAAGGCCATATTTCCGATGACTGATCCTTTTCTTTGTTCCAACCTTTGCATTCCAATCACCGTTAATTATCAGTATATCTTGATTGCATATTTGGTCACTTTCAGCCTGAAGAAGTTGGTAGAATTTTTCAATTTCATTATTACTAGTTTTACAGGTTGGTGCATAAATTTGAATATAGTTGTATTATCTGGCCTTCCTTGTAATCATATGGATATTGCCCTATCACAGACAGAGTTGTACTTTAAGATCAATCTTGAAAGGCTGTTTTTGATTATGAATATGATGACATTCCACTTTAGTATGTCATTCCCGGCATAGTAAACCATGTAATTGTCAGATTAAAAATAGCTAACACCAGTCCATTTCAGCTCATTGATGCCTAGGGTATTGATGTTTATGTATTCCATTTCATTTTTGACAACTACAGTTTTCCTTGTTTCATACTTAATGCATTCCATGTTCCCATTGTTAATGGATGTTTACAGCTGTTTTTCCTTATTTAGAGTTGTGCTCCATCAGCAAATGAAGGTCCAGAAAGCTTTAATCCATTTGCATCATCATAGTCAACTATATTTTGAGGACGCAGTTCTTCCTTAGTCATATTTTGAGTGCCTTCCAACCTGAAGCGATCATCTTCTAGCACTATATCTGACGATATTCTGGTGCTCTTCATCATGTTGTAGTTTTCAATAGTCCGGTGCTATCTGACAGTTTTCCACTGCTATTCAAAAGATTTTCAGTAACTAAATATTAGAAGTAGTCTGTCTCGCCTCCTTCCTAGTCTGTCTTAGTCTGAAAGCTGTCCACCATGAGTGATCTTGATGGTATATAAAATACCATTGGCATAGCTTTCAGAATCACAGCCACATGCAAACCAATACAATATCACAAACTGACAGACAAATGATTCTGAAGACTAGAAGTCTAAATTTAGAGTATCCTCAAGGGTGATTGTAAATACTTCGTGACTACTTTGGAAGAAGAACCTGTCTTTGTCCCTTCCAGCCTCTAGTGGTCCCACAAATTTCTTGGCTTGCAACATCATGACTCTAACCTCTGCCTCCATTTTCACATGACCATCTTCCGTCTTTGCCTATCTGTGATTTTTCTACTTTTTATAGGAATACCAAGGAGCCCTGGTAAAGTAGTGGATTTCGAGCGTGGCTGCTAATCAAAAGGTTAGCAGTACAGATATACTAAACACTCCATGGAGAAAGATGAAGATTCCTTCTCCCATAAAGATGTGCAGCCTCAGAAACCCTATACAGGGTCACTATGAATCTGAACTGACTCCTTGGCTCATCTCTACCACCACCACCACCATAACTAGTCACATGGGATTAGTGCCCACCCAACTCCAGCTTGACCACGTTATCCTACGGATTGCACCTTCAAATAACCTATTTCCAAACAAGTTCACATTCACAGGTACCAGGGCTTACAACATGCACATGTCTTCTGGGGAGACATCATTCATCCTACAACAAAGTCCCTCCCCAAATGTCCTCATAAACATCTGTGCATACATGAGTGGCAGATCTGTCTGTGACAGTCATGAGGGTGGAACTGGGCCCCCTATCTGCCTGTAGTGCTCACTTAGCAGTGGGGGAAGTGTGAAAGACATTGTTATTAAAACTTTGACATACATGAATTCATTTAACCCTTACCCAAATGTCTACGCAGAAGAGCTGAAATATTAACACCCATGATCCTGATTTAACTACTGAGTGCTGGACATGGGCCTCTGAGTCCCACTTTGTAGATGCCATACACTGCTGCTTCTCTTTTATCTCATCTCCACGATCCCCTTCCAGCTCACTAGACGTGCAACTGGGGGCTGGTAAAGATAAGATGATGAGGAAGGATCTTGAGCCTGAGAGACCTGGGTTTTGATCTTAGCTGGTTCTGTTCCCTTCTATAATGCACTGAGAAGATGTTCTCACCTCTGTATCCTTCCTCATGTGTAGAAGAGAGGTATGGGTTACCAGAAATCTGCACCAGGGCCTTGTAAAACATGGTGGCCTGGAACTGGAAGAATCTCTTGGTGTTAGGTGCTGTTGAGTTGACTCTGTTTATGAACCAATGCACAACAGAAAAAAAACACACCCTGCCCTGCACCATCTTCACAATTGTTGCTATATTTGAGCCCATTGTTCAGTTACTGTGTCAATCCATCTCATTGGAAGTATTCCTTTATTTATTTATTTTCCTTACTGACCTTCTACTTTACCAAGCCTGTTATCCTACTTCCAGGAACTGGTCCTTCCTGGTAACATGTCCAAAGTGTATGACAGGAAGTCTCGCTGTCCTCACTTCTAACTAGCATTCTGACTATACTTCTTTTAAGACAGATGTGTTCACTCTTCTTTCAGTCCATGGAACTTTCAGTATTCTCCAACACCATAATTCAAATGCATTAATTCTTCTCTGGTCTTCCTTATTCATTGTCCAGCTTTCTCATAGATCTGAGATCATTGAAAAACTTTTTTTTTTTTTTTT